GAACCAACAACCACAACTGTTTTATCATCTACAACAGAACAATCAACTACATCTGAACAAAGCACAACAACACAGACAGCAACAACATCCCTAATTACAACAAGTACAGCTCAATCTACAACCCTGTTTACAACAACCTCACCTACAACTACATCTCATCTTACAACTACAGCCCCTCCTACAGAAACAACAACAACACAACTTACATCTACAGCAGAACCAACAACCACAACTGTTTTAACATCTACAACAGAACCAACAACCACAACTGTTTTAACATCTACAACAGAACCAACAACCACAACTGTTTTAACATCTACAACAGAACCAACAACCACAACTGTTTTAACATCTACAACAGAACCAACAACCACAACTGTTTTAACATCTACAACAGAACCAACAACCACAACTGTTTTAACATCTACAACAGAACCAACAACCACAACTGTTTTAACATCTACAACAGAACCAACAACCACAACTGTTTTAACATCTACAACAGAACCAACAACCACAACTGTTTTAACATCTACAACAGAACCAACAACCACAACTGTTTTAACATCTACAACAGAACCAACAACCACAACTGTTTTAACATCTACAACAGAACCAACAACCACAACTGTTTTAACATCTACAACAGAACCAACAACCACAACTGTTTTAACATCTACAACAGAACCAACAACCACAACTGTTTTAACATCTACAACAGAACCAACAACCACAACTGTTTTAACATCTACAACAGAACCAACAACCACAACTGTTTTAACATCTACAACAGAACCAACAACCACAACTGTTTTAACATCTACAACAGAACAATCAACTACATCTGAACAAAGCACAACAACACAGACAGCAACAACATCCCTACCTACAACAAGTACAGCTCAGTCTACAACTGTGGTTACAACAAACATTGTTACATCAAGTCCAATTACACAAACGACACAATTCTGCACAAAAGTGACACAACAGCTGATACAATACTGTTCAGCAACAACTGAAACTCTGCTTACAACCACTGCCAAACCGACACAAACACCTGAATCAACAAACTCACCTACAACTGCAACAACTGAACCTACGACTGTTAGAGTAAACACAGCTACAACTACATCTCAGCTTACAACTACTGCCCCTCCTACAGAAACAACAACACAACTTACATCTACGGTGGAAACAACAACCACAACTGTTTTAACATCTACAACAGAACAATCAACTACATCTGAACAAAGCACCGCAACACAGACAGCAACAACATCCCTACCTACAACAAGTACAGCTCAGCTTACAACTACTGCCCCTCCTACAGAAACAACAACACAACTTACATCTACGGTGGAAACAACAACCACAACTGTTTTAACATCTACAACAGAACAATCAACTACATCTGAACAAAGCACCGCAACACAGACAGCAACAACATCCCTACCTACAACAAGTACAGCTCAGCTTACAACTACTGCCCCTCCTACAGAAACAACAAAAACACAACTTACATCTACGGCGGAAACAACAACCACAACTGTTTTAACATCAACAGCTGAACCAACAACCACAACTGTTTTAACATCTACGGCAGAACAATCAACTACATCTGTTTTAACATCTACGGCAGAACAATCAACTACATCTGAACAAAGCACAACAACACAGACAGCAACAACATCCCTGCCTCCAACAAGTACAGCTCAATCTACAACCCTGGTTACAACAAACTCACCTACAACTACATCTCAGCTTACAACTACAGCCGCTCCTACAGAAACAACAACAACACAACTTACATCTACAGCAGAACCAACAACCACAACTGTTTTAACATCTACGGCAGAACAATCAACTACATCTGAACAAAGCACAACAACACAGACAGCAACAACATCCCTGCCTCCAACAAGTACAGCTCAATCTACAACCCTGGTTACAACAAACTCTCCTACATCTCAGCTTACAACTACAGCCGCTCCTACAGAAACAACAACAACACAACTTACATCTACAGCAGAACCAACAACCACAACGGTTTTAACATCTACAACTGAACCAACAACCACAACTGTTTTAACATCTACAGCAGAACCAACAACCACAACTGTTTTAACATCTACAGCTGAACCAACAACCACAACTGTTTTAACATCTACGGCTGAACCAACAACCACAACGGTTTTAACATCTACGGCTGAACCAACAACCACAACTGTTTTAACATCTACAACAGAACCAACAACCACAACTGTTTTAAGATCTACAACAGAACCAACAACCACAACTGTTTTAAGATCTACAACAGAACCAACAACCACAACTGTTTTAAGATCTACAACAGAACCAACAACCACAACGGGTTTAACATCTACAACAGAACAATCAACTACATCTGAACGAAGCACAACAACACAGACAGCAACAACATCCCTACCTACAACAAGTACAGCTCAATCTACAACCCTGGTTACAACAACCTCACCTACAATTACATCTCAGCTTACAACTACTGCCCCTCCTACAGAAACAACAACACAACTTACATCTACGGCTGAACCAACAACCACAACCAAAGCTCAATCACCAACAACCCCAGACACAACCCAGACAGTTTTTGTTAGTTTTTCCAGCAGTGACAATTTTGTCTCTGATCTGTCAAATCCAGCTTCAGAAGCATATAAAAACAGAGAAAAGAAAGTCAAAGATACGGTACGTTGCATGGCAAATATTTAAGGCATGCAGTTTGCACCACAAGTTAAATAGTAACAAACTCTTTGCATTTGAATGTATTCAGTATTTCATTTTGCACCCTAATGTAGATAATAGTGCAAACCAGTTTTGGGCTTGTTACTCAAAAAATTTAATATATTACTCATTACTTCAGTAGTTACTCCTTTCAAAAGTAATATTATGACTTCACTTATTACTCTCGGCTAGCAGTAATTAGTTACACTACTAGTGACACTACTTTTCCATTACATCCCCCAAAAATGTGTGATATTTTGCAACCTGTGAATACATTTGATACATCTGAAAGTTACAGATATAAGTCTATTCTTAGTACCACTCCACAATTCACAATTTTTTTTGGATGGTAACTGTAATATTTTTACTTACATTTGATCAGTAATTAGTTACACTACTAGTTACCAGGGAAATAAATACTATTACAGTAATGCGTTACTAGTAACTAGTTACTGCCCAACACTGGTGCAAACTAACTGCACCCCACATAGACAGTAATATACGTTATTTTTTACTCCAGTGCAAATATCATTCTATTTTATTGGTGCCCTGGTGTAAATATTAATATGCTGCTTTTTAACAATTAGTCCAAATTTTACTATTAATTTTTACTGTTAAATGTTAAAGAATGACATTAATACAGAATTATACCAATAAATGTTCAAAATGTTCAAAGAACAGCCGATGCACTTTGCTTTTGGCAGTCATTTCTCAAGAGCAGCTCTGAATTAAAAAAATAAAAATAAAAATAAAAAAGAGATATTAATAACATCTGTGCAGCTTGCTCGGCCGATCATGTGAGCATGAGTCAATATGGTGGATCAATGTGATAATAAAAGTATTAGTATTAGTGTTGTAGTTTTTTTATTTATTTTAGTCTGTGGTTAATTCATAATCGATACCTAAATATTGAACCTGACACTGTCATCCTGTTTTCCACAGTTGACACCACTCTTTACAAAAGAATTGCCCTCCTTCAAAGGACTGGCAGTTATTCGGTTCCGGTGAGCATTTCTTCCCTTTAAATATGAATACATTTCATTTTCATTTTCGGAAAACAAAAGTCTTAGGTTTACAGAAAAATCTAGACAGCTATTTAAACATTGTTCTGCTTATTTGTTCATGTAAGAAATTACAATTTTTGATGTCCAAACATTCCTTTGGGGTCACATGAAGTGACAGAGGCAACAAAATCTGCAAAAAAGAATGTTTGTAAATCTAAAATTGTTATTTTATATATATATACTGGTTTGCCAAGGCAAAATATATAAATAATCATCTTAAAACAAATGTTTTTAATGAAGCATTTAATACACAGCATCTGAAAAGACTTAAAAGGTTAGTTCACCCAAAAATTCTGTCATTAATTACTCACCCTCGTGTCGTTCCAAACCCGTAAGACCTTCGTTCATCTTTGGAACACAAATGAAGATATTGTTTATGAAATCTGAGAGCTCTGACCCTCCGTAGACAGCAATGCAACTGCAATGTTCCCAGGTCCAGAAACTTAGCAAGGACATCTGTAAAATAATCCATGTGACATCAGGGGTTCAACTGCAATTTTACGAAGCTACGAGAATACTTTTTGTGCGCAAAGAATACAATAATAACATAATTTATTCAACAATTCTTCTCCCCGAGTTACCATCTTCCACCATTTTGGAGATTACTCCAGAATGTAATCAACGTAAACAATGGTGATTACGTTGATTACGTTCTGGGGTAATCTCCAAAATCTAATATCGGAACCACTGATGTCACATGGACTATTTCGATGTCCTTGCTACGTTTCTGGACCTGGGAACATTGCAGTTGCATTACTGTCAACGGAGGGTCAGAGAGCTCTCAGATTTCATCAAAAAATATCTTCATTTGTGCTCTGAAGATGAACGAAGGTCTTACAGGTTTGGAACGACATGAGGGCAGAGGCGGACAAAGTACACAACTCCATTACTTGAGTGAAAGTACAGATACTGCTGGTCAAATATTACTCCATTACAAGTAAAAGTTGTAAAGACAGATTTGTACTTAAGTAAAAGTACAGAAGTACTTGCTTTTAAAAGTAAATTTCCTTTTTTGTGTCAATGCACTGTTTTATTATTGTTGTATGTAATACTTGCAATACCTTTGAAGCAACTTACAATACATTACACCTGCTGAATACACTGACTAACTTGTTTGAAACAAAAGATAGTTTTTAGAGAAGAAAAAAATGAGGATCTTGATAGAAATGTAGTGGAGTGAAAAGTACAATATTTGTCTTTCAAATGTAGTGAAGTTAAAATCATAAGTTTCCAGAAAAAATAATACTCTAGTAAAGTACAGATACTCAAAAACTGTACTTAAGTACAATACTCAAGTAAATGTACTTAGTTACTGTCCGCCCCTGCATGAGGGTGAGTAATTAATGACAGAATTTTCATTTTGGGGTGAACTATCCCTTAAATGCCACAAAAAACTACAGCAAACCAAAAATAGCAGCATAAACACTTCTTCCAAATGTGCTATAGCCTAAGTGGTTTCAGTATTAAGCCTTGCATTTAATAAAATGACAATGATTCTCTCTTCTCTTTCTCTTCTGTAGTCCGGGGTCAATCATCACTGATGTGAATGTGACATTTGGAACCTTACCCAGTGATGCGAAGATCGAAAACACTATTATGGAAGCTAACGCCACTCTTAATATCACCAGTGTAACACGTAAGTCAAACAAAGAACATCATCAGTATGTCATTCAAAATAATTTACAGTGTTTTCTGTGTTAGTCTGTGTTGTTATTTAACTAAAGCTGTTGCACTGCTTTTTTTTTATCTTGCTTGAGTTATTTTTCTCAACTTTTATTTTTATTTTTCATATTCTACAACACAACCAAACACACACAACAGTAACGAAGCCCTTCACCACAACTACCAGTTCCACTACAACTACAACCACACCTACAACAACAGCAGCAGCAACGGCAACAACCACCACAACATCTACAGCCAATCCTAATACAACAACCACCACAACATCTACAGCCAATCCTAATACAACAGCAACCACAACATCTACAGCCAATCCTAAAACAACAGCAGCAAAAACAACAACAACCACAACAACAACAACCACAACAACCACAACCACAACAACCACAACAAAAGCACCAGCACGACCTCAGCCAACTGTTGAGATACAGATTGTCATTATAGTGGTGTTTGTTCCAGCACTGTCAAACCCTCAAACTCCAGAATTTAAAAGCCTTGCCACAAAAGTAGAGACTATGGTATGTGGCAGAACAGTACAGTGATTTACAGAAACAAAAGCATTTGCAAAGATACACATAATTATTTGCTTTTTTTTTTATAATAGTAAAATTCTAAAGCAAAACTCTGAATTCACTTTTGGACTTGCCTGAAGTTTTGGGAAGGAAAAAAAATATAAACTTTTTGTTTTAGCACTTTTTCAGTTGTATAGTACTCTTAAAAAACAGTATGATCTACTTCTATAAAAATGGAATTGTTTCATATAATATTAGGAAACATTCCTAAACCTGACTTACTGTTTTCACAGTTTGATGAAATCTATAAGAAAAAGTTTGGGCCTCGTTTCATCAGGACCATCGTGATTGCTTTCATGTAAGTTAAAAGTTTGATTCATTACTTTAAATGATTACTTTGCTCATTTACACTCATGTTTTCAATGTTAATTTACACATCATGCCTTCAATGTCAGTTTGTGTAATTTTTCATGTCGTAAAACTTAAATGTATGCATTTGACACACTTTTATCCAATGCAATTTACAGTGGATTCAATATAACATGTTTGATCAGTTTACACACTCCCTGGGCTAAAAGGGCTAAATACTCTTTTTATATATTGTCATATATTTATATAACTACACTCACTACTGTCAACAGCACAAAATCTGGCAAGATTTTCTCTCCTTTATAAAAGTTTATGTCTATGTAGCTTTCCTAACCGTTTACGGTTATATTTTAAGTTGCACATAAAAAGAAACAACAAAAAAAACAGCTTTCTTCCATCTCTGCATCACAAACCAACACTCAGATCATATGCATGGATGTAAATATAAACTGTAAAATGTATCTTTTCTTTCCAGAGCTTTTTTCAGGACCCGGGAAGAATCAAACGTACAGGCAGAGGTTAAGTTAGTGTTTAGCGAAGAGTCCACTGAACCGATCCCCAGCAACACCGACATTGTGGAGACTCTAAAAGAAGCAGCGGCTAATTCAACTGCGGGCTTCAACCTCACCATTGATGCCACCTCTATTACTGTCATTAGTAAGTTGATTTAGATCTGCCAGATTTCTAAGATTTTACAATGTTAACTTACCTAGAAAAGTTCTGTGCAACTACTTTTTCTTTAATTATCAATTACTTTTTTTGTGTAGAATCAGTGCAGATAATTCCGCTGACAATCCTCACCAACGGAAACTTTGTGGCTGCTCTTTCAAATAAAAGTTCTACTGAATTTCAGAACAGGGCTTCGCTGATAAAAACAGGAGTGAGTGTGACGTGTCTACTTATGAATTATGGGAAACATGCTTTTACAAAAGAAAGCCAATTTTGACAAACAACTCTTGTTTTGCAGCTTGAACCTTTCTTCCTGGCTGATTACCCTACATCATTCAGCACCATATCCGTAACAGACTTCAGGTATGAATATGCAGGTGCTTTCTTGAATATAGCTACTGACTCAACATAACACAGTTTTCATTAATGAATCTTGATTCCAAACTCTCTCCAGTGATGCCGGTGTAAAATTAAGGAGTGTGCCCAAGATCCGAAACAGCATGGATGTTGTATTCGGAGCGGACGCCGTTCTACCCAATAGCACCCAGATAGTGAACACTGTAGTTCGAGCAGCCAGAAACAACACGCTACCCTTCCAGATCTTCACTTCTTCAATTATAATAAATGGAACAGGTGAGTGATTCACTTCAATCTTGCACTGCAGTGAAATATTTTGCACTCAGATGAGTAATATTTTTACTTAGAGGAACCGTCAGGGCCCTCTAGGCCCTCAGAGAGGGCTTAGACTATTGTAAAAACAATATTTACAATTTTTAAATAAATCCTTTAAAACGATAAACTTTTAAATATTATTTTAATAAAAAGTCATAATTTCAAACTTTATTTAATCAATTTGTAATTTAACAATCATCATCTAAATAAAATAAATACAATTTCTGTGGAAATAAACTCTTCAAATCTGCATATTCAGTGAATGTGTTAAATGAACGACGCTCATCTTCTCCATATTTGAATGCTTCCTCCTAGTGTTTACGGCTCTGTGATTAGTGTTCCAGCTATGAAATTACAGCGGGCCAAGCAATAGTCAATCAGTGGGAGCGAAATTTCAAGTGACAGAAAAACTGACCAATCATATCTTTCCTCTAAATGGGCGGGCCTTGTTTTCACTAACTTTATGACAAGTTCCGCCCGCTATGGGATCTGTATTGGAAAAAAATTGTATATCGACCTAAGTAGCTATCATTCACGTCACGATGTAAGCTGCAAATTACACAAGTGAGGACATTTACTGGGCCGCTGTGCCAGTAATTATATTATTTGTTATAAACACTGCTTGTTTGTCATGAAGTGTCTGTCCTTAATTTGTTTTGCTGTGAGCGCTGTCATGATGTGCTGTCTTACATTTGTTGGTTTTGTGCACAGACCGATTGTGTGATGATGCATTTGTAATGAGGATTTTCATTTTATTAAGGTGATATCAATCTTTTTTCTGATCACTGAGTTTTCTAGTTGCATTTCTGAAAGGCAGTCGCACACCTTTAAACTTTTAATCTATTTTCCAAACAGTCAAAAGTTCACTTAAAGAATGAGCAATTGGTGTCAATAAGTTTGAAGTTCAGTGATTGAAATAACAGCAAACAGAATGACAATGTGTGATCTATTGCAGTCTATAGTCTAGGAGGCCCTCCTGCTTACATGAAGCAGAGCCTTTATTAGTGCCACAGAAAGACAAATGTTTTACTGAAAAATGCACAAGACACAATCTTTCAGCCTAGGATGAAGTCGTTATATACATTAACGATAATTTAGAACAAATATGATGTACTTTAATGGAAAACTGTATGAGTAGTACTCTGTGGCGCGGCAGGATTTTGAACAGAGCCCAGAGTCAAAGCTGATATCCGTGGACAGTTGCCGGTGTCCGTACGCTCATAGAAAACATCTCCAGGTTACGCATGTAACCCTAGTTCCCAGAGGGAACGAGACGCTGCTTCGCCTTCACCATGACCACGCTCTGAATCACGTGTGTAATCAGTCCAATGGATGGGCGAGACGTTACGGGCGGGGTGACGTAATTACCAGGACGCTTAAAAGCATGTGCGGTGGAACTGGCTTCGAGGAATGAAGCAAGTGCTTGCAGGGATGTATGGTATGGCACTCAAGTATGGCACTGAGATGCAGCGTCTCGCCTCTGGGAACTAGGGTTACATGCGTAACCTGAAGACATTTTCTTTCAGGAACTCAAGCTGCGTCAAAATGCTATGGGAACGAGAATGCCCATGCCGTCAGACTTACAAATCCCTGCCTAGTGTGGAAGAGCACAGCTAAAGCGAGAGAAAGGAGGCAGGAGTGGCGCAGAATGCAGGTAGGCACATGACAAAGTAGGCGGGGACATCCTTGAAAGCTTCCACTTCAAGGCGTACAGTTTCCTCGTAGAGGGAGCTCTAGATTGGAGGATGGTCTCAACAACCTCAGTTGAGAGACCGGAAGCTACGAGTTGTGCCCCCTCAGAGGCCACACCCAAAGCTTCCACAGCTCCGGGCGGGGGTGAAAGATAGTACCCTCCGCCTGTGATAGGAGATCCCTCCTGACGGAAATCTCCCATGGAGAGCCGTCGAGAAGGGAAATCAGGTCCGAGAACCATACTCGGACCGGCCAGAACGGGGCTACTAGCAGCAGACGGACCCTGTCCCGGTGCACTCTCCCCAGAACTCCTGGGAGCAGAGCGATCAGGGAAAAGGCGTACAGACGAAGCCTCGGCCACATCTGTACCATAGGGTCCAGTCCGAGAGGAGCTGGATGAGTCAGAGAGAACCAGAGGGGAAGCTGATACCAGTTCCACCGCACGTGCTTTTAAGCTCCCTGGTCTCTACGTCACCCCACCCGTGACGTCTCGCCCCCATCCATTGGACTGATTACACATATGATTCAGAGCGTGGTCATGGTGAAGGCGTTCCCATAGGTTTTGACGCAGCTCGAGTTCCTGAAGGGGAACAGTGTGTTCAGTGTGTGACTGCCTTAAGGCTGGATTAGGAATTGTTAAAGCTGACTTTTAGAGGAAGACACCATAAGCTAGTTAGACTGGTAGTTAGGGGGAGAGGGCCTAGGTTCAAGAGTCATGGCTCACTACTTCTTTGTTTACTGGAATTGTACAGGGTTTCTGTGGGTTTTATGAAGTTAAATTGAAGACTTTTACAGATCCACAGAAACACTGTCATATACTGGCTAATGTAATCTTTGTGGCTACTTTCTCAAATACAAGATCTGTTGAATTTCAGAATAGGGCATCAATGATAAATACTGAGATATTAGCACGTATGCATGTCCTAAAAATTTGTTTTAATTTAATTAATTAAAAATTATTTTGCAGAGCCAAAATTTTGTTGCGGATTGCAAATAATTTTACTCATTCCTGCCAATAAAGTGGGAAATTAAAACATTCAAACTGAATTTCTTGCACTGAAACTGCACACTTTTTTGGTTCCACTTTTGACATTCTACTAACTACAAGTAACTTTGCAACAATATGTCAACTATAATTAATTTGCAACTATGTCAATGAACTGTCATTAGAGTATTCATATACTCTTATGCTAAAGGGTTAGTTTACCCAAAAATCAAAATTCAGTCATTAATTACTCACCCTCATGTCGTTCCAGACCTTCGTTCATCTTCAGAACACAAATTAAGAGATTTCTGACCCTGCATAAACAGCAAGGGTATATGCAGGGTCAGAGAGCTCTCGGATTTCATCAAAAATATGTGTTCCGAAGATGAATGTTTTACAGGTTTTACCTTTACGGTTAGTATAACAAGTTGACATGTAGTTGCAAAATGACTTGTAGTTAGTAGAATGTCAAAACTGGACTATCGAAATAAATGGTAACCCTATATTTGTTTAAATAGATTGAATGCAAAATTGAATTAAATTTGAAATTGAATCAAGTCAAACTGCCTTGCATTTTTTGTGTAGGTTATTGCACGACAAAAGTACACAATCTCGCGTCCACATCGTACGCTTTTAGGTTTTTATCAACCTAGTATTTTCACAAACAAATTTCAGAAGATAAATCCGTTATCGCTAATAACATTAGACATCAGGAATAACAGTTATTCACAATAATGAGATTGAAATTTTTCACGCAGAGAATGAATGCTAATATGAACATGCACATGGATTTTTAGAGTTCAAACTTGCAGTGTTTTTGCTTTAGGCAACATTTAAAAAGGTAAGCGAATTATCATTTCTGTCTGTTTTCTTCTCTTTTAACGCAGAATTTTCATCAGGTGAAGTCAGCAGCAGGATCAGTATGTTGACCGCTTCATTCCTGGTTGCGGTGTCACTTCTGGTTCCATGGTTTATCTGACCTTAACCACTCATACCAAGATAACTGATTCAGACGGGTCTGAATCTTCCCTTTCACGTCGGATCAAATTAAGGACTCAACTTAAGGATAAATGTAGCTACTGATGCTACTTAATGAGTAGCAATGAAAGTAAAAAATTAAATTATTCTATTCTGAGCACTTTAAACTAGATCTAAGCTATAGTGGATTTATAGTTTATCTGTATGTACCTGTATCTGTATGTAAACAATCAGTATTGTATAAAGCACTATATAAATAAAGGCAAATATAAATATATATAAATGTACTTGCATGTTTTCATAGATTTACTTCAGAACCCATCATTGTGCACTTATGTTTTTTTAAATTGGTTAATAGATTATTGATTCCCAGAACTGTTCTATTTTGTAAGAACATTTTATTAAATGCATAAATACAGTACACAGATTTTCAAAATCTAAAGTATGCTGAAATGCTATGCTATTATTGATTCTTCAGAAAAGTGATAAAACATCTATCAGGCATAATCAGGCATCCTTAGAGCATAAGTACTTCATTTAGACTACTAAACATATTAAATAACCATAGACAGAACCATAACTACTGTGCATATTAAAAATAAACTCTATCGACACTCTGACTTCCGGTTTTGCCACCTCCGAAATGGCCATGTTGTGAAGCAACTATTTGATGGCAGACTCGAAATGTAAAGGCTGAACCAAATAAAATATGGTGAGCCGATTGCGCAGGTCAAACATCCGCATCTATGGAGTCGCTCGGAGGTTTCTCATCATCCGTTAGCATACCTCATGGTCACATACTAGACAGAGGTAATTGACAAATACTATTAGATGGCCGCTCCTATCTAAAAGTACTTTTATTTAATCCTCATAGATCTGCACAAACTTAAATAAAGCAAAATTATCTTGTCACAGGTATGCTCAATATTACAAGCAGGAAACATGCTACGTCATCAAATTCGTAATTTCAAACAATGGCGGCGTCCGAAAGCCTAGGCAGCTGACTTGCTGCCTTATGAGGTAATGACTTTGAAGGCAGCGTTTTTGCACGAAGGCACCTCATGGAACTGATCTGAGGCAATGTAACGGTTTAATGATCTACAACCAGAGATGAAAACAGGTAAGAGGGAATAAAGGTGAAAACCGGGGGCATGCTTCACATGGAATTTTTTAAAAAGATATTTGTTTTACATACTCATTTGTAGTTACTTTAAAGGGCCCCGATTATGGATTTTTGAAACCTTTCATGATTACCTTTCATGCAGTGTGTAACAGCTGTAAGTGAATGAAAACATCCTGCAAAGTTTTAAATCTGAAAGTGCACCGTGTATAAAGTTATTGTCTCTCAAAAGGAAGAGTCAGCTCTGAATCATTGAAACGAGTTGTTTTTAAAACAAATCCCAAGCCGTTTCATGTTCACATCAACATGAAACATTAGCATATTGCCCGCCCACTTTACAACAACATTGTACATTACAAAAATCAAGATTGAATATATTTGGTCAAAATCCCATTTTATAAAAGAATAAGTCTATTTAAGACAATATTGGCTGATTAGGCAAGACAAGGCAAGTTAATTTATATAGCACATTTCGTACACAATGGTAATTCAAAGTGCTTTACATAAAAGAAAGTAAAATAATCATAAAAATAATCCCAAAAATAAAACAAGTGTAACCCCTCTCTCCCGGGTCCTCACCGCCACACCTTGTTCTTTTTCCAAATGGGTCTCCGGCATGGGAGCTGGACGCACTAACAAGGAGGCTAAAGACTGCAGCCTCTAGCATCAGTCGCTAGTGCGTCTCTTGAGATCAGGGGAGTGAGGTTTACCTGCACAGTACCTACTCGCTGGCCTCCGTTACACTAGGAATTTATAAACTTGGAAAATTATTGAAAAATGTATTTAAGAAAGTTAAAAATAGAAAATTATTATATAGACATAAAATACAGTGCAATCATTTTGGGTTGCATAAAATACAGAGCAATACATAAAATACAGTGCAATCAGTTTGGACATCGCACAGTGCTCATTAGTGTTGTAACGGTACCAAAATTTCAGTATTCGGTACCAATACCAGTGAGAATCCACGGTTCTCTGTACCAATTTTCGGTTCCCAAACTTCAGAGGGGTAAGGCCCCCCAAAAACATAGCAAAAGCTCCACGACCACCCCCCCCCCACCTCTTTGTTAAAAAAATATAGAGTAATAGTATATAGATATATTTAATAAACAGATTGTCTCTTTGCACAAAATTATCACCATTTATTAACCAGTTTTTTATATTCTGGTGAAAATAAGATGATATAAACATTCTTTAAAAATATATTTAAATCCAAAACACTAGGCCTACATACTTTCTGCATACTATTTACAATTATATTGCATCAAAGTGTGTAACAGAAGCTACTGTACATAGTTCACAATTCTATTGCAATGAAATACATAACTATGTTTTAAACTGAGGAACGATGTAAACTTAGTCAGTTTTTGATGTCTGGTTGAATCAACGTCAATTTAAGACGGAGATCAGATTCCACACTCGATGCATTCCTGTACTTTGTCTTTAAGGCCACAAGCACCGAAAATCCCACTTCACACATATACATTGTGGCAAGCGGCATCAAAAACATTATTGCCCTGTTGGCGAGTTCAGGGTATTCGTTTGACACATGTAACCAGAACTGAGTCAAAGTTTATCCGAAAAAATCAGTTTCAAGGAGCTGTCACAGGATAGATCGACGAGGCTGTCCTGTTCCTTGTAGGTGAGTCCCGCAATTACATCCTCACTGTGGTTGGCAAAGGGATACTGTATCCAGCTCTGCTGTTTGCTGATGTCAGGGAAGTAGTCCTGCATCTGAGACTTTAAAGCCTGCATGTGCTCTGTCATAGCAACTGCTGCAGTGACGGGTAGTGGCCTTTCCTCCTTGGACAAAATGTCGGACACGTTTTCGAAGGACTCATAGTTGGCTCGGGCAATTCTTTTCCCCCACAGATCAATTTTCTTTATGGTTGCCTCTATTTTGTTATGCACGTGAAACATTGTTACTGCTGTCCCCTGTAGGGCTAGATTGAGTCCATTCAAGTGGCAGAAACTGTCTGCCAAGTAGGCCAATTTACAAAGCCAGTCGTAATCACAGAGGCGGTCTGCAAGTTAAAATTTAGAATCAATGAAAAATGTTCTGACCTCGTCACGTAACTGGAAGAGCCGGGTGAGCACTCTGACCTCGGTATGTAGTAAAAGCTGGCGGTGTTCACTACCCATCTCTTCACACAAAAGGGAAAACAAACGTGCTTGCAGTGGACGACTTTTAATGTAATTCAACATTCTGACAGCGTCATCTTAAACCGTCTTTAAATCTTTAAATCGGAAAGCCCTTGGATCGTCTTTAAATCCATGGGCATTCTCTTAGCGGCTAATGCCTCTCTGTGAATGCAGCAATGTACGTGAGTGAGCAGCGGGGCCACATCTCTGACTCGCTTCACCACTCCACTGTGTCTGCCCAGCATAGTGCGAGCACCATCGGTGCTGAGTCCAACACACTTTGTCCAGTTGATGTCATTGGAAATTATGAAATCGTTCAGAATGTCAAAAATAGCTTCCGCTGTTGCGTTTGATTGTAGAGGTCTGCAAATGTTCTGTCTGTTTTCCTCAATTTCTCCCATCATATTCATACCTAACGAATGCGAGCAAATTCGCCATACCCGCGATGTCTGTGGACTCATCGATTTGAATTGCATAAAAACGACTCGCTCGAACTCTGCAAATTAGCTGCTGGAACACATTCTCGGCCATATCATTAATTCGGCGCTTAACCGTGTTGTTTGATAAAGAAATCAAGTTAAGTTGCTTAACTGCATTGTTTCAGTGCCTCATTAGAAAGGGTCTCTGAGCATAGCACACAGACAGGCGTGGGGTTGTCAGCAGGACCAACACTCGTAAATCCGAAGGACAAGTACTCCTCGCTGTACTTACGAGGCTTTCGTTTACTTGAAGTGCAGTTAGGTCCAGTTGATGAGGATGGATTGTCATCCTCTACTCCTCTTTTACCGAGCAGCCATTGTCGCATTTTTTAATTGACGGTTAATTGTGACTGAATTCCTACTAAGCAACCAACGTCAGTTTGAAAATAAGCAATGTATCTCACCTCGCTATAATGGGGAAAAACATTTTTTTATGTGTTTTTTATTTGTGTATTAAGGAGGGGGGGAAATCACATTTTAGAACAATTAAAATATTTTAATAATTTTAATATTTTGATTTAGCCTAGCCACGGCCCCCCTGCAATACCGCTATGGCCCACCAGGGCCCACAGTTTGGGAAGCACTGTTCTAGAGTTATTCAGCCAAGAATAACAACTAAGTTAGCCAAAAAACAACTGCTTTTCTGACTGATATGACACAAACAATGTTAACCACTTGTACATTCTCTAACACGCATATTTTAGATTCACATTTAATTTAAAAGCCTCTGGGGTGTAAAAATAGTAAATATCATCATGCCCTCCTGTTTGTTTACCCTAATAAAAGTTATAGGAGCATTAAATAGTTAATAAAGAAACTTAATTCTAATGCTCATTATATTAGCGATCGACATTCAAATTAAAATATTGAATAATATTCATAACAGAAGCGGTGTTTCCCACAGACTTGCACGGCTTTATACGGCATATATATGCAAATTCATTCTCTGCCAGCAAAAGGCACTTGTAGAGCGGGAGAGATAGAGGTTTACCCAGTAACGGCTATAATCAAATAAGTGCTGCGCTCACAAATGCTGCTCAGGCATTACAGGCAAGATGAAATGAAAATGACATCCATAATTTTCTGAAGACAGTCGGATTCCTTTATAAATACAGTGATATAAAAACACCCGCACCGGATTTCGACTTTGACACGTGCAGTGCTCATGTTTATTCAACGAAGTCAAAGCCTTTTGGAAAATCTATTTCTGGCGGTCAGTTTTGATATTGCGGCGGGCCGCCACAAATAAATCAATGTATGGGAAACACTGAGAAGATCTAAATATTAAAAATTAAAATTAAACTTACCTGCTTGAATTCTTTCATTTGATCTGGGTGTCTGTCTTTAAAGTTTTTTGTTAGTTTGGTGTGTTTCCTCCTTTTGATGTCGCCACGTCGCAGTGCTTTTATGAAGAGAGCGCATCTGCGCACCTTTCGGATAGCGCATCAAGAACGTTTCAGGTTACATATGTAACCATGTTTCCCTGAGTAGGGAACGAGACACTGCGTCCTCTAGGGGTCGCTATGGGGAACACCTCGTCGT